GGATGGATGGATGGATGGATGGATGGAGGGATGGACGGATATGGATATGGGTGCCTAAACTATTGGGAATCGCACTATTTTTTTCAGACTTTTAAGTGATCCAAAATAATTATTGCTGTTTTGCTTATATGGTTTTTACAATTAAATCAATTGTTGTAATTATTATGTTCATTTTCCATCTGGAAATCTAACAGTAATCAATGTATCTATCTCAATTGAATCTTCTTTACTATTTGACTTTTCCTTCAGTGTTTTTTTCTATTCTATTCTATTCTATTCTATTCTATTCTATTATATTCTATTATATTCTATTATATTCTATTCTATTCTGTTCTTTGGGAATCGTTCCATTTTGACTTTTGATATTGATTTGTTTTCACTTTAATTAAAACAGCTTCACCTACTACCTCCAATTGCTGTGATTCCAAATTCAAGGCTAACCTGCCAGGGTTTTGTGTCCTTTGGTAATGAATTTTCCCAGGTCTGCGACACTTGCTATTACAATAGCGGAATCATTTTGGAAGGTTGTTTATGAGTAACTACACAAGTTTTATGTTCATCTAAGGGGTGAGGAATAAGTTACATTTGAATGAGCAACGTTTATAGTTTGATGCAAAGTATCTTTCACTCCAAAATGTTTGTTTTCTAACTGATAAAAATAACCACAAAAACCTCTTATAATCCTGGAAATAAGGATGTTTTAAACGTATTCATGACTTGAGAACAATTTATATTTTTGGCAGTAATGTTGGAATGAATGCCATGAAACCATTTCTACTGATAAGATGTGTCATAGTTGTTTAGATAATTCAATTTCTTCTTTTATAGGGTAGAGGAGCCCATGCTTACCGGAGCCTACCTCGCAATGCAAGTGGCTGGACCACTCAGTTTCAGAGAGAGATGACTCGATCTTCCCTTAGTGCCAATCATCCAATGGTGGATCGATGGCTTGACCGACAAGAACAGGTATAAGACTACGTTCACAATGCAGCCTGAAGTGACCTCAAATCAGACTTTTTCGCCCTCATGTGACCTGTATCTGATATTTTCATACCAGTGTGAGGCTAGGCCACTTGGATATGTAGTTCTAAATCTGATATGTATCTGAGTTTTTCAAATATGACCTGTGTCTGTAAAGCCAGGTCACATTCGTCCGCCCTGCATGTCACTGAAACTAGACAAACAGCACGATGCTGTGCCCTTCTAGGCGAAAAGAACAATATAATAAAGAACAATAATAATGTGGAGAACAGTCAGTGGAAAGAAAGTGAGGTTTCTGTCTTAATTAGTATTAAAAGGGATAACTCAATCAAGGCCAAAGATCAAGGGGTCTTATCGGAATCGGTGCATTTGTATAAATAATCCTGGTTCTATTGCCAAAGAAGAATAAAAAAAAATGTTAAACAGTTTAAGAGCTAACACTGTACACACTTGCTTAGGGTGACATTAATGCGTCCTGTACTGTGCATGACATTTTTAGGTTTGTTTGCTGTTCACACAGGATATCACATACGAGTCGCATATGTTTTTAAATGTGAACGACCATGCAAAGAAAAAACAACAAAATTGATTTAAAAAATCAGATTAGGTCACTTCAGGCTGCATTGTGAACGTAGCCTAAGAGCTGAAACCAATGGTCACATTGTTCTTGTTTGATGGAAATAATTAGCAGAGTTACCATAGTATTTCCCAGTATATACATCAAACCAGCATCGTGTTTTTTCAATAGTACCTAATGATAGCATGAATCACACTTGTGAAGGTGTTTAAAAAAGAAAGATCCAATACAATTTTCATCAGAAACAGCACAACTGGAGAGGAGAAAAAACTCCTTTCTGTAAGTCAGTGACATTCAGTTGAATCATACTAAGGGTATGTAGAGGATGAAGTAACACCAAACCAAATCAGCTGATTAGCCTTTGCTTGAAACCCATGACCGTCCAAATTAAATTTAAGTCTCTAATGGCAGCGTGCAAAGTCACATCTTGGTCTGCATTCAGCTTATCAATCTAAAACATTATATCCCCCAATTGCTTTCCTCTCAGGAACTTTGAACTTTGTCTAATGCTACCATCAAAACACATTTTCAGTTCAGACTGCTCTGTGTTTGTACATTTAATTTCTATTCATATTATTTTTACACGTACACACACACACACACACATACACACACACATATATATATATATACAGTATATATGGAAAAGGATCACATCAACAAACATTGCTTTATACATACATATTTATGTATGTATGTATACAGAATACTGATTATTCTGTTATCATACTGTCGAAACATGAACTTCACAATTTTCCTCTTCGTCACAATGAGTTTTATAATGTCAGAGAAAATACGTTTGAAAGTGCGTATCCTCGCGATGCACCTCCTCGCTCTGTTGACACTTTATGATTGACTCAGCCTGAGCCTGTTCCCTCTCCTCCGCAGTCTGTCAAGAGAGAAAAAATATGCTCCCTTTAAAAGTTATTAAAAGTGACGGAGGCTCTCTGCGGGGAGAGCCGAAATGACCTTGGGATGTGTTGAACATGCTGAGCTTGATGAGCAGAAGATTTCCCAGGTTTATTTGTCAGTCTCTCCCTGTCTCTATTGACTAGCTGTTCTTAATAGAAAGGAGGATGTTATATAGAACTTTTCTAAGCAAGGAAGAGTCAGAAAAAAACAATACAAAGGACAAAAAATATTGTTGAGTGTTGATGCAGTTAAAATAATAATGATGTGTATTTGAGAAATTATTAACTGACTCCCAAAATGGCATGTTGCCTTTTCTGCCAAATCATCATTTAGCTTATAAATATTCTGTTTTAAATGTTCTGGTTGTTGTTTATTCTGTTAGTTTTAAGTAATGTCTTTATACAAAATAAGTCTGGCTGTGCTTTTTTGCCTTGTAACATTATTAATTGATTAGGTATGTTTTTTTTTGCTCGCGGCAGTTTAAATAATTCAATAAGAAATCATGATCATAGTTTTTGAACAGAAATGCCTATTATAGCTAAATCAATTCTTTTGGTGAAATTGTTGTCAAAAGTATAAAAAAAAACAATTTTGCTGTGCTGACCCTTTAAGCTTTTAGCATCTACAATTTGAAAAATCCCTAGGGAAATATTCATTTTTCTTTTCTTTTGAGCAATAATAATGCTTTTTCACAGATAGCTGAGCTGACACTTGATGGTGTGAGAAATCTTCAAAAAGAAATGTCATAACTCATGCTGAATTTAGACATCACATATTGGATATATAATTTGCGAGCTACTTTAGATAAGTGCATTTCCACTGGTGTAGCCTATGACTGAGTATACATGGTGTAAAAGGTGGTTTACCAAATGGTTGAGCAATGGTTGGATGTTAAAGCGATAATAGTCCGTTGTGTACCTTACAACTATAACTTCACACTTTTTCATTCATTTTTTAATTTTAAGTACAAAGCAACTAGCAACTGGCATGTAGATGTTGATCTTAGCCTAAAATCTGAAGTCAAGCTGAAACAGTTGTTTGGCTGTGTTTAAAAATACCACAGTTTTTCTAACAGTATTAGTCAATCTCATTTTCATATTTTGATATAGTCTTAGATAAAATTGAATTTAAAACATCAGTGACACTACTTTTGTGTAATTTCCACACTTCAGATTTCTAATCATTTAACAAATTGAATAAACATTTACTGATGGGTTTTAGAGGATATGACTGTAGAAACAAACAAATAATTCTTATGATTGCTAAAATCTTGATATGTTTATATATTTAATTTAATTACAGCCCTTGACTTTAATAATTATCAACATAGCTGTGAAAATGTAAAAAAATCAAGTCAAGTCATTTTTGTTGCCCATACTGCACACTGTATGTAAAAGGATGCCCAGAGGATTGAAATTACGTTACTCTCAAATTTATAGATCATTGAGATAGTTCCTAGCCTTAGATTATTGTTTGAGAGCAAGGGTCACACATTAATAGCTCTGTACACAATGTTAACAGCAGGACTGTCCTAGCCAGACACTTAAGCATCCAAAGAATGGCTGACATATGTTTGTCAGAAAATACAAAATCCCCTCATTATAGGTGAAAGAGTAGGAGTAAGAATTTTTACTTTGTGATCCTATGTGAGGACAAAAAACCTCAAACACTGGAACAACTGACACCGTCTTTATGTTTAATGCTTATTCAGAGTGTTGCCATCATGTTCAAGCATCGTCGTCTCTCAACTTAATGCGTGCACTATTCACTGAATGGTCCTGAAACATGACCATGCGGCTTTAAAAATGTGTTAACATGAAATATTTGAGTTTAATTGGTAATGTGTGCTGTGATGGAGTGGCAGCTTGTCCAGGGTGTACACTGCCTTTTACCCAGTGACAGCTGGAATAGACTCCACACCTCTCTGACCCCAAATTCAATTAGGCGGATATGAAAAGTGGATGGATTGATGGATGGGCAGGTGGTAATGGTGTGACGCAGCTGTAAGTGTAA